CAATTCCTAAAAATATCAGAGAGCTACGTAGCTTCTTAGGACTAACAGGGTATTACAGAAAATTTGTCCGAAATTATGCCACAATTGCCAAACCTTTAACAAAATATCTGAGCGGAGTAAATGGGAAAGTTTCACGAAGGGCATCCAAGAAAGCATTAATACAGCTGGATGAACCAGCAATTGGAGCATTTAATAATTTAAAGGACAGTTTAATAGCACATATTGAATTAGTACAACCAGATTACAATAAAAAATTCACATTAACCACAGATGCATCGGACATAGCAATAGGTGCAGTTTTGTCGCAAGATGGGAATCCCATAACATTTATTTCTAAAACTTTAAGTAAAACCGAGCAATTATATGCTACTAATAAAAAAGAATTATTAGCTATTGTATGGGCATTAAAAAATTTGCGAAATTATTTATACGGAGTGAGTGGAATTGAAATACATACAGATCACCAACCTTTGTCCTTTGCAATGTCGCAAAAAAATCCAAATGTTGAAATGAAACGTTGGTATTACTTCATAGAAAGTTTCACACCAAAAATCATTTATAAGCCAGGCTCAACTAACGTAGTAGCGGACGCGTTATCTCGGATTAAAATAAATCATATGACAGATAGTGATGTCGACCAGACAGAATCAGAATCAGACATAAATACTCAGCATTCAGCAGAGAGTAGTTTCGAAAACGTCATTCAAGAGACTAGCAAGCCTCTAAACCAATTTAAACAGCAGCTACTATTAGCGCAAGGGAGATTCACAGTTCATGAGTTAGTAAGAGTTTATGAAAATACCCGACATATTATTGAATTTGATACGGTTGACAATCTGCTAATCATTTTAAAAGAATTTATTCAGCCTCACTTAACCACAGGAATACACTGCACTTTAGAAGATTTATACCTTATCCAAAATAAGCTAAAGGAAAACTTCATAAATAAATTTCTCTTCACAAGAAAGTTCCTCCAAGATGTAGTAAATTCAGAAGATAAAGCTATAATTATAGAAGAAACACATTGCAGAGCCCATAGAGGACTAGACGAAAATTACAAACAAATAACTAAGCTGTATTATTGGCCAAACCTGCACAAAAAATTAAAAGAATATATAAAAAATTGTGAGATCTGTAACAAAAACAAATATCGGAGACACCCTGTAAAAATTCCAATTGGGGAAGCTCCCATTCCAGCAAAAGAAGGAGATCAATTACACTTAGACATATACTATGCCCAAAACCTAACATTCATAACTTGTATAGATTCTTATTCCAAATACTTGGTGGTCAAGGAAATTCAAAGTAAATTAAACATTGAAAATAAGGTAATGGAAATTTTACAACACTTTCCGTTAGCAACATCATTAATGACTGACAACGAACCAAGCTTTACTTCAGCACAATTTAGATCATTCATACAAAGAAGTAACTTAACTATTTATTATGCTGATCCCAGACACAGCACCTCAAATGGTCAGGTAGAAAGGGTACATTCCACACTAACAGAAATAGCGCGGTGCATCAAGGATGAACTAAATCTAACAGATTATTCAGAAATAATAATAAGGGCGGCACTGAAATATAACCTGACGATACATTCAACGACCAATCAAATGCCATATGACATATTGTATAACAAAATAGAACACAAACATAATCCAATATTACTTAAGGAAGCTCAGACCAAAATGCTTAAGATACATAACAAAGATAGAAGAGAAAAAGATTATAAAATAGGAGAAGTAGTCTATGAAAAGAAATTCGGGGAAAGAAATAAACTTCAATCCCGATACAAAAAGCAGGTAGTTAAGGAAAATCGACCGAATAAAATTATAATCAACAATAGAAACAGAATTATACATAAAGATAACATCAAATATTAAATATTTTTTCCAGAAAATGTATGCGAATATACTAATACTGACTTTTGTTATATTGACGACTGCGGAAGTAATTGACTATACGCATAGTGACTATCTATTGCTCAAAGACGACAGAGACGTTTACACTTATGAAACATACGCTGAACTTTTCCATATTACTAATTTGAGTTTTTATAGAGAGATAATTGATAAAGAATCCAAATATGTCAACAAATCAATTAATTCAGACGATGAGTGGGAAATATCAATGGACTTAAGTCTATTAAAATTAATGATTTCAGAATTAGTTCCAAAACGGAAAGAAAGGGGAATAAATGAATTAGGTACCATTTGGAAATGGATAGCAGGCAGCCCTGATCATGACGACTTTTTGAAAATACAAAATAAAGTAAATGAATTAACTGAAAATAATAATAAACAATTTGTAATAAATTCCAAATTTTTCAAAGAAATTGAATTGCTATCAAATTCATTAAAGAATGTCATCTTCAATGAAGAAACGATACTGAGAAAGCATCGTTTAAAATTAATAACTTTTGACCTACTAAATTTAGTTGATACCATAACCCTCTTAAAAGTAAACATTTTCAATACAAAAATTTTAAATAAAAACGAAATAGAGGACATTTATAAGCATGAAAAACATAATGTTGAACTGTCTGATCTGTTGGACATTGCAACGGTTAAAATAATTCGAAATGCAGATTTAATAATCATTTACATAAAATATCCTCAAATTAAAGATATTTGCAAGTTTTACCATGCAAGAGCCATCTCACAAAATGATGGAATGTTAGTTATAAGTGAAAAAGTTTGTGAATGTAAGGAGAAATACTATTTAATGAATAATTTTAAAAGTGAAACTTTTAACAATTACGCACAAATAAATTTAAAGAGTACCTGTTTCACCAATTTACTTAATGGCTTTAAAGCCAACTGCACTAAAAAAAGGGAAAAAAAACAAAGAAATAGACATCATTCAGGATGGTGCCATATTAGTTTCAGGCAAAAATATCGTAGACAATACTACTTTGTTAGGATCGTATCTCCTTATATTCAACAACACAATTGTAATAAATAATATAAGCCACATAAATGATAAGGGTAAAATTCTAAAATATATATCGCATCATAGATATAGCGATTTTGAATTAGTTGATTATATACAATCAAATGATAAGCAATTTTCTTTTGATAATGTTAATATTTTAAATCCCCTTATAACATTAGGTAATACGGCCTTACCATTAACAACATTATTTTTAATCATTTTGATATTGTTAATGTTATTTTACTTCTGCTATAAATTAACCAAATTTGTACTTATTAAATCAATAAGAATACCGTCAGAAGAAATAGTGGAAAGCAACATTCAAATACTGTCAGAAGAAATTAGAGCTCTATCAGAACTTCAAAATGTATCGGGACGAAACATTTAAGAATGGGGGGAGTTAACGTACCCAATTCCATTGAGCTCTTATACGAGTTGTAAACAATCTTTGGTTTTCCAAAACGAAAACAATTTCAATCTTGGGCCTCCGCCTAATTGATTTCTAAGATGTACAATCTCAAGCGCCCCCGCCGCAATCCCATTCTTTGACACTCGCCTAAATGGAAAACCAATGTTTGCCCACACCCGGCTTCTCATAAACAATCTCACTCCCGGCTTTCTGCAGATCCTGCACTTTAGGCCTTTTACAGTTCTCTCTTTGGATGACGAAATCTAATACTCGGGATGGCGAAATCAATTGAAATGTTTATAGAAAAACGATTCCCGAAAGGGATCAACGATGCAAAGATCAGAAAGTTCAAAGCAGTCTTGATCCAGCAGCGACACCGCAAAGTCTAGCTAAATATTAAGATCGCGCAATCCCTTGGCCCGGAATTCCTTTGTGACCCTCTACTTAAATCTATATCAGTGAAGTTCGAAGTAAAATAAAAACTTTTTAAAAACACAATCCGCTACCGCAGTTGTTTAATTTGCCCACATAATAATATTCGATTAATGAATCAATTTTCTACTCAACTGGCCAGTTTTTAGTCCTTGCTTTTATTGTATTTTTACTAAACAAGGATTAAGCAAAATAGTTCAACAAAAAAACAGTTACAATGTCGCTGTAATTTGAAGACATAACGCTTGTATAGGCCCTTGTACACCCTTTTTCCTCAATTCTGTAACATCCATTTCCCCCAGGGTATGTTAGCAACATGTTTGTGTATGGAATGAGACTCATTGTTGCTAAAGCGAACTGCGGCGAATTCAAATTCGATTCAAAAAAACGTCCAATTCCTCATATTCTTTGTTCCGTTGAATAATACTATCTATATGGAACATTTAGCCATGCCCACTCAATTTTGTACGATTGATTAATCAATTCTATACATGATTGGCCTATTCGAAATACTTGCTTTTATTGGATTTCTATATAACATTGAAAATTAAATTAATAGATTGATGAAATTGACAAAAATACCATGGGAGCGCGGCGAAAACCAGTATTTCTACAATATGACCCTTAGAACAGCACCAAAATATACCGTCTCATTTGAAAATTATACCTTAAATATACTGACGAATTCAAATTCTATTTTACATATTCCTCGTTTTTGATCTTCCGTGGAATATTATTAGCTTATAGAACATTTAGCCATGCCCACATAGTTTTATCCCATTGATGAATAAATTGTACTACAAGATTGTCTTATTTTAAACACTTGCTTTTATTTCTATTCCATTTATTCTATATACTTTTGAAAATGAAATTTAATAGATTAATGAAATTGATATAATATACAACTATATACAGAAATACCAGAAGCGATAGTATCGATAGGCAAGAATCTCTAGTGTGGCCAAATCATGAAAAATAGGTTGTTAGGCGGCAGTTTTGAAGGCTGATAAATATCAAAATAATTAGGAAAAACATTTTGATATTGTTCAGACATGGCTATACACAGTCGACAGTTGATAAAGAACACATACTTATGTGTTAATTATAGAGGCTATAAAAGATATGAAAAAAAAACATACAACCGACTGATTATGATGGATAAACTCCATAGATTGTACAAAATTGTATTATTGATATACATAAAATATGATAAATAATATATTCAACAAATTTTTTTACGAATTTTGTCGACTCCCGTGCATTTGTTCATGTGTCGCGTAAAATTGGCTTCCAGTTTGTACAGCATTCCGCATTTCTCACACAAAAATCGAGTCTCCGACTTAGCTGCTGTGCGTATCTCCTCTTCGGCTCGGATCTTTGTGGTGCAATCATTGCAGGCATAGCGACGACGTATTTTTCCAAACTCAAACTCGACGGAAAAAGGCTGCTTGCAGAAAATACACGTGTATACTTTTTTTATGGTAGCCGGGGTCTTCAGATCGAACTTTCCAGTCGGCTCTTGAGCGATGCAGCTTTTCTTGGGTCCCTCTAGTCCGGATTCCACCGCGGTGCCGATGCGCTTATCACAGATTTTGAAATGTGGTTTGTCCTCCAGTGACTCCCGGTCCGCATGCAACTCGCTGCGGCGCTTGCAGAAACGAGCGTGCACGATATAGGGTCCTTTGTGCTTAAACTTGTTGCCACAGTATGAGCAGTGAAACAACGGATCTTCGGTGACGTTTTCCTGGATCGGGATATACGGCGATACATGCACGGTGGTAACGATTCCATTTTTCTCCTCGTTGGATAGCATTACGTCCATTTGAATTTCCATGATTCCCGAAAAACGCTTTGCAATCGTGTGTGTTGCAAAAAGAAGAAAGTAGAAGCAAACGAAATTGGAAAGTAGAAAGTATCGCATCACTGAGTGTTGACAAAGAAAGAAAGTACTCAAAAGTGCATTCCAGGGCTAGACGAAAAGTACTCACTCGTTTTGCTGTCGGCTTTCCGGCCCTTTTCACCCATCACCCTTGCTTGTGGTAATTCTCAGATCCTTGCTTTATGGCACGCGTAATTCGAGTCAAAATATGCAATTAAACAAAAACGTCTTGACTATAAAAATATTTGCATAACTTGGGCAAACAAATGTCGAAGCACGTCGTCGTCGTCAGAAGACGAACAAGAAGAAGACAATGCTAAGTTGTTGTTGAACTTGTCATTATACTCACACACACACACACACACACACACACAAACAGGAATACACGAGGAGGCAGCAGCAGGAGTTTTGCTTGCCCCTTGTCAGGGCGGCTCTCGCGCTAAAGTGTAGATTAATAGCCTGGGTGGGTGGTTGTCTGGGGGAGTGTTCTCTCTGGCAGAAATCAGCGCTCGTAAAATTTACGTAAAATTCATTAAGCGCAACAAAAGACGCTGACGCTGGTGCTGGGGCTGGGGCTGGGTGCTTTCGAACACAGAAAAACAGGTTGCCACCGAGCTAGCACAGGCACACAATCGTTTAGAGACAAAGCCTTGCATAGTTGATAAGGCGCGTGGTGCTCCGTGCCCTGAGGAGGGGGGCGTGGACTGACGGCGATGCCTGGTGATGGCTTGTGGTCCCGTAAGTGTCTGCTGGCAAGTCAAGCAGTGCGTCAAGCCCCACTGAAAGCAACAAATTTTTGTCATTTGAAAGTATGCGAAGCTTTTGTGGCGTTATTGTTGCACCACACCATCATCATCATCCCCAAGATACTACTCACCCCCTCACGCTCTCCTGCCTGGGCTTCACTGCTGTGCAGCGAGGCGGAGCGAAGCGCAACCATAGTGCTCCTCCTTAAGTAGCTAGAGCATGTCGCAGATCCCATCCAGTCTGTCCAGGCTGTCCTATATCTGCGCCACTGCCACTGCCAGTGCCAGTCATATTCCATTCCCAGTGAGTGACAGATTAGCGTGCTGACATTAAGTTTGTCCTTTGGCATTGCAGCTCTCCGCACATGGGCTTAAAGTATTGGCCCGGTCGTTCGCCGGCCCAATCCCTGGCCATCATTGAGCATAGGGGCTTTACCCTGGTGCTGCTATCCCCTGCAAATGTTGATAACGCATTGGCGACGTCTGTCCTGGAGTGGCCACACACATTACAGCATGTTGCGGTCGGCGTGAGTGCCGCGTGGGTGATGCGATGTCGGCGTGGTTTCTGCGGTATGTAATATAATGAGTTTTACATGGCTTGCACCCGTTACCTACTTGGCAGCCACCACACCGGGCTTTGATTGTCCAGCCCGCACCTGATTTTTGGGCTCTGCTCTGATGATCTTATACCAATTAACTTTTTTTTGTTTTTGTATGCGTTCGTGCACATATCGTTTCACGTGGTTTCCCAACACTGACGAATTAAAGCTGCTGATCGACTGCATTAAAATCGAGATGGTTGTTTTGAACTGAAGAGAAGTGTGTACACACCAATTTGAAAATCCATGGGAAAACTATTGAAAGATGAGGTCAGAAAAATAAAATGCTTGCGGCCAGCGCATAAAAAAAGCAGACGCATAAAAAATTAATAAGCAGCCAGAGGCGATAGGGTGGTCAGTGGCGAAGGACGCAGTGCTGTTGTTCTTGTCTATTTTCTGCTGCTGCTGCTGCCACGCTTTGACGACGGACAAAACCCTTCTGCCACGGCTGATGCCCCCGCCCCTTTGCTTCTGGCGCTGTCCACTAGCTAGACAGAGACATCATTAATGCATAATTCAAGCGTTTGGCAGTTTTGTGCTCGATGCTTTCAATATTCAATTTGAATGCCGCCCAAAGCGATACAGAACGGTTTTGTGTCTGGCTCTGTTGTTTGTGCCTTTTTTCCTGTTTTCCCGGATTCTTCTTCTTCTACTCCATCGCTTTCATGCTCGCTTATTTATTTGCCTGTGTCTCTTTCTTTCTCCCACACCGCCCTCCACACTCCACCCACCACTCCCCCACACCATACCTGCTGCATTATTCAGACTCGGAATCGAACAAAATGCATGATAAACAATTTCTAACGGGCCAGAGACAATGGCCGTTCGCTCACTTGTCATCCGGTGGTTGTTGTATCTGGGTATGCCCTTCAATATAGAGTATTTGTACTATAGGGAAGCCTTTTGTAACGCAGAGAAGGCCCCGTATATTGGCTCTCAAACTATAAGCTGATTAGAGGTATCAAAATCAGAATGCCTGTCTGTTCTTATGTATATATCGAGTCACTATAGAACTTTCTGTGTGCAAGAGTATTAAAAGCTTCTGTTCCCGGAAACTAGTCTTCCTTCCATGTTGTTCTTGTACATATTTATATAGTATTTGCCGTCCACGTTTGCGTTACGCCCCTCCTGGGCGTTTTTTTGTATCCTACCTATCCCACGAATGCCAGCAATCAATGGCCGCTCGACTGCTCTGTCCAACAATAGAACCTACCACCGTGCATGCGTTAGTTGTTTATTAAATATAAATGATTGTCACTTGCGAAACGAATCGAATCCGTACGAAACGAAATGTTGATAGTGATGATTGCTTGAATTTCATTGAGCAGGACAATTGCTGCAGGGTCACTCGACAAAGGTTCTCACTGCACTACCTTGTAAGTACTTTTGGTAGTTGTTGTAGTGCTGCAATTCCTTGTAATTTCTACCACCATTCCCAGAGGCTTTCGCCTTTACACGAGGATGATGATGATGATGGCGATGACGATGACGCCTTGCCTTGGACATGTAAGGGCACTTTAGGCGGGCGCCAGTTTGACAAGTCATGCAATTGATATTGATATTGGCCATTTGCTCGTCATAAAATGTGAAGCGTCATGACGGCATCCCGTCAACATGGCCTTACCAAGCAAACGGACCACCGCCTCACCACCACACTGAATACTTCCAACTGTCCAACCATTCATCGGATATTGACCACAAAATGCCATTAAAAAATAATTACGAATTTTAATTGGCATTTAGTTCGGGGCAAAAAATGAAGTGCATTCAACATTAAATGTGATTATGCCGGATAGACGGGGAACTCTGTCCGGTTCGGTGAAGCGTGCTTAACAATCGAAGTCAATCGGATTACTTTCGACCCGTTTTGAACCCAGGCAAAGTTCGGCCGAATCAATTAACCTGCCATTAAAGATAACGATCCAGAGGAAGGCCTTGGACAGCGACCTGCAACCGAAATCTATTAGCTTCCATTTTTAGGAACAGGGTATACCGCAGTCCAGCTGCCTCTGCTATAGGCTTTTATTATTGATTACCTTATCGTTTTTCATTCGATACTGCATTATAATAATGCATGTGTCTGTCACCTGGCGCATGTTCTGATTGCAGTTAGTGGCATAGTACGCCACTTAAAAATCAATTAACATCACGCGGCAATTGATTGCATTCAATGGCGTCCAGGCTGGGCAGCAGTCCAGCCATCCAGCAATCCACTCATCCATTCTGATGGAGAGCCCTCCAAGCGCGCAATGGAGATGTCCACCTGCCGCCGGTAATCAGGGAATCTCTGAAATAGTTATGTATGTATTTCGTGTCATATTTATGCAATGGCTAACGATAATTGCATCACCTACGCGGCGGCAGCTTCGGTGCACCTCAAATTGTGTGGCAACATGACAACGCTGTCCGACTCCCTTCCCTTATGGCCCAGTATTCCTCTTGCGTGCATGCCACCACACCACACACACCCCACATACATATGTCCGCTCCCCACTCTGTCCGGTGGCACCCGACCAGTATGTACACACTAATTGCGGTATTAAAATAAACTACAATTGCAAATGGCGCATTTTATTTTCACAAAGCGGAAAGGGCGGAAAGGTGGAGCCGAGCCCCTCTGCTGTTGCTATTATTTGCTGTTGCCATTACTGTTACTGTTTCTGTTTCTGCTTTGCCATTTGCATTGTTGCCGACTACTGCCGCATTCTTCTATGTAATTGTGGTCCCGTAATGTGTGACAATTAAATCAAGTTCGGGGAAACTTGTGTGGCACTCAGGAGCCGCCACAGCGAGAGATTCCCGCGAAGATGTATGGCCAAAGCCGAAATATCTGTCCCCTGCTCACATTTCTCTCTAGTTTGGAGGCAGGGGGCACATAGCAAATATCACCCTTACCCGTAAACGCCTCTGGCTGTAGGCTGTGTATGGCATAATCATATTTGAGGCTTTCCCGGAATACTCGTATTCGTGCGACTGCAACCTCAATTGCAATTGGAATTGCCGTTGACCAGTTGGTTAGCCTGGCTCTCCTCCGTGGTCCGGCGTCAACCCTTCCTTCACTCTTGCCCATCCATTCCCCGCCATCTGCCATCCTCTCTTCCATCGTCCGGAGTCCGCGTCCATCGCTGCTCGTTGTTCTGTTTGGTTGAAAACCACAAATTAAGCAGAGAAATCCTTGCCGTGCATGCGAACGATGGCGCCGCTGCAAACGAAAAAAAATGAATGCATGGCGAATGAAATGGTGTGGAATAATAAATATCCTCTATAAAGATAGAATTTAATACTAGTATTCCTACAATTGCAACAGTTTTCGAAGAGAAGATAGAGGGCGGGCAATAAAGTCTAGAACCTCTCTGCATTGGCTGTCCAGCTGTCCAGCATACCCTCTCCTTGGGCGACCAATGGGTGTGCAAAAAGAAAAAATACAAGCGCTGGCGAGCGCCCACAAACATGCAACATCCCGACCTCAATGTATTACGATGGGGCGTGGTAAGTCTGGTCTGGGGAGCCAGATAAATGCCCGTTTCTGTTGCAGTTACTGTTACTGCTGCTATTGTCGCTGCCATGTTGCCACGTTGCATGCAAACAAGTGCACGCTTACACACACCAACACAGAGACAAGC